GGGCTGGGGGGGCCTGGGGGCTGGGGGCAGCCAACCGAAAGGGAAGGGGAAGGGCCGGGGTCCCCAGCCACAGCAGTGAGGGAGGACAGCGAAGCTGGGCAAGCTCAGCCCCCACGCCGCCGCCGGAGACAGCTGCTCCTGTGCTCTGCCTGTCCGGCAGAGGGGCTCCCACCGCCCTCCCCAGGAGAACTGCTCCAGGGGCTCAGAGACTGTCAGGCACTAGGTGGATGCCTAGAAGGACACTCAGGGCGAGGCTCAGGCAAAGAGGGGAGCGCCGGCCGGGCTCTGACCGCACAGCCGGTCAGCACGAGGCTCCCGGGAGGCCGGTCCCCGGCCGCGCCGGGCCTTCGCCAGGCCTTCTCCGGGGCGCTCCCCGGGCTGTCCTGAGTCTTCCTGGCGACTTCGGTCCTGAGGGAGCAAGAGCACTTGTCACTGGGCTGGCGACAGCGCCCGCCCCGCCCCCACACCGCGCGCTGGCGCGGCAGGGGTGGCAGGAGCCACGCGGAAAGCTGGAGGAGTGAGCACCACGTGCGGCTGCGCCCCGCAGCCAGGGAGGGCCCCGAATCCTTCAGTCGCAGGGCTGGCGGCTCTCTGGCGACTGCCACGGGCCCGGAGGGGGACGCCAGCGCGGGCTGTGGCGCCTGGATCTGGACAGTGGCGCTGGCCGGGGCGCGGTGGCGGCTCAGCTCGTGTCCGGCGCATGGCGTGGGTGTGCAGAACGCTCCTGACATGTTCCACGGCCGAGATGAGCTACCGCAGCTGCCCCAGGGCCCGGATCTGGCCTATAAACAAACCTCGGAACACCCCTCGGGCAGCAGGCCTGGAGAGCCAGCCAGCAGAGAGGCCGTGAGAAGCCACGGGCAGCTGAGCCGCGCTCGCCGCCACTCTGTGAGCGCGGTGAAGGGCAGAGCCCCGGCCGGCCGGCACCTCCCGCCTGGCAGGACAGTCCCACCCACGGCCCCGGCACCGAGGCTGGGAGGGCGTGGACAGAGGGCAGCCGGCCAGGCGGTGGCGGGCCATGGTCAGCGGGCGCTGTGGACAGCGGGCTGTTCTCGCCTTCAGAAGCAGAAGCAGCAGGGCCAGCAGCCCCGCTCCAGGGCCTCTTTTCAGGGCACAAGAAACCACGTGGGGACTTGCAAGCCTCACTGTCCAGTTTTCCTTGCATTTTCCTCGCCGTCTGGCCGACGACGGGGGGTTACAAACGGGTTGGGACAGCCACGCTCCCTCTGAGGGAGGAGCGGCCGTCAACGTGGTGCCACACTGTGGATCGCCATGGGGAGCACGAAACCCTGCCACTCACAGCAGAGTGGGAGGAACCGGGGGCCTGGGTCAGGGAGCTGGAGCCCGACCGGGGTGTCCTGGAGAGCACTTCCCGGCGCCGCCGGCAGGGGTCGCCCAGCCGCCGCCCGCCTTCCCATCAGCCCCCGCAGATTTCCCGCCATCCTCAGCGGGCGTGCAGATGTCTCCCCTGGGGGACCCGGGCCGGGATCCCGCAGGGCCTCGGTGAGTGGGGCGAGGGCGGGGCCCCTTTTCTCTGCAGCAACCGTTACCTGTTTTCGGAGTAAATAGGGAGCCCCGACGATCCCCCAAATAAGGACTGCGGGGACGGCGGCCTGGCTCCCCCGGGGCCCCCGCCAGAGGGGC